GTAGTGACAACTTCTTTTCCTTTTGCTTCATTGTAGCTCTAGATGAAACCCTTCACTGACTCATTAAATACACAGAAGCAATTTCCCAGTTATAGATTCACCCTATCATAAAGGCTAGGAGTTAAAGGATAATCTAAATGCTCTCTAATGAACTAAGACAGAAGTATTCAAGGCTATGTCACTTGAGGGCACTCTCCATAATGTTAAACGATGAGCACACTACCGTAAAACACTGCAAACTAATTGGTGGGTATATCTGGAGCATTCTCTAGTAGGGATGTAACGATTAACCGCGAGCCGGTTGAAAATCGATTCAAATATGTGACGATTCAAATCAGTTGAGATGCTAAACAAATCTCGATTCAATTAGGGGTAGGAGTTTATATGAATGTATGTCTGAGGGGAACTTACTGTCTTTAGAAAAGTTTAGATGGTATTTTTTCTTTTCATCTTGCCTCATAAAGCATATTAAAGTTCATAAGTGGAGCGCTGCTTTGTTTACAGCGGAAACCAAGGAAACGCTTTAAGCGCCACCTGCTGGCAGAGAGTGAATCTGCGTCTCATTCAGCTCGTCTACCGTTTCTGTTTCATGCAGTTATTTTTTTATGTATAGTTTCACAAAACTGAAGTCAAACCATTCTGTTTTTGCTTCAAATTTCGAAATTATACAATCTAATTTAGATTAAAAACTGCTCATGTTGAATGAATGCAGCATCTTTGTTTGGATCATGATTAAAATGCAGTGGTTGCCTCTAATTTTAAATGGAAAAAGCACAGACAAAGCCTTATTTTGTTTATATAAAGAGATTTATTTTATTTGTGTTACTTATTTATTTGATTTGGGGCTTGTTTTAAAATTTCAATTTAGTTTTGTTATTTACATTTACATTATATTTAAATTTAGTTATTTAGCAGACGCTTTTATCCAAAGCGACTTACAAATGAGGATAATAGAAGCAATCAAAACCAACAAAAGGGCAATAATGTACAAGTGCTATATTAATATAGTGTTATATTTCACAAAGAAACATGAAGCATTTTGTCCAAGCAATAATAAAAGGACACATTTAATTTACAGTATAAATTGTCTTAAATCTCATTTTGTTAAAAAAAATCGTGAATCGAATCGAATTGTGAGTTGAGTGAATCGTTACATCCCTATTCTCTAGTGATGCAGATGCAACATCGGACAGACAGAAAGCTCTCAACAGCAATGTAAACAGGCTCACAGTACAGCACTTGCTTATTTTAGCCCTCATTTCAGTGTAAATGTTAAGCATAGAGCTTACATGCCAAAAGGGAATTAGTCTTCAGTAACATCAACAACATGTTGTAACCCATTTTCCATTATCCAACCAAGTCCGGTTATGTCAGCTCATCTTTCAAATGATCAAAAATATTTATGCAAGTAAATGCAAGGATGAAAAGCTGATTTGGGTTGGGAGTTGCTTATGTAACTGCTTTTTTGCACCAGTCCAAGCCATCTGTGCTGGTCAAAGGACTTTTACAATAAAGTGGTTCAACAACTACCGGGGAGAGGAACTCCTAAACCAAAGCTGAATCCCACAGATGTTTAGCTCACCACCGAAAGGTTATAAGAGGGAAAAAACTGTGTCCATGAACAAACATGAGCCAAACCTTTTAAGCTGTGCATTCCAATTCTGAATTATAGTAAAATAGGATTGGATAAAATGCTTTACTGCACATGGAGAGTATTCAAAAGAGAGAATCAAGAGGGTGCAGTGGAGTTCATGGCAATACCAATCACTTGAACAGTGGACTCTCTTTGTTAAAACTACATGCATTAACTATAATCATAATTTAAAATCCACGTCCAGACTTCTATAATCCTAAAGCCTGGATTTCTTTCTCTCTATCTCTCTCTCTTTCTCTCTCTCTCTCTCTCTCTCTCTCTCTCTCTCTCTCTCTCCCTCTCCCTCTCTCTCAATGGGAGGAGATTTTCTGTCAGGGCTCAATTTAATTTTTTGGCATGTTGGAAATCAATTGTTACTGCAGGGTGATTAATGCATCAATAAAACCATTCTTCCCCAAAAATCTTATACTCTTAAAAATAAAGGTTCTTTAATGGAATTGATGGTTCCATAAAGAACTTTTTACTGTACAAAATGTTCTTTAAAAAAAAAGTAAAATATTTAAATGTTCTGCACACTAAGAAAAAAAAATGGTTCTTTTAAGAACGGCTGAGTGAAAGGTTCTCTGGGGAACGCAAAAATGGTTCTTCTATGGCATTGCCAAAAAAACAAAACATTTTGGAACCTAAATTTAAAATATTAAAAAATACTGGTCAGTTTTACTGTACTCTACATACATCTTGTATTCCAAGTTGCAACCTATACCACTTTCACTTTTAGAAGCCATGCAACACTGTTCATTAAAAAAATATATATAATAATACATGGAAACACATGATTTTTACTTAACAAAAGTGCAAAAAAAGATGATCACTGCACTCTGCCAACTGGGTCAGGTTAAAAAGAAACCGGATAGCTCACCTGAAATGCACCACTCCCCTGATGATCTCATCATTTAAAACACTGAGCAACATTAACTGAATCACTGACTTCCTCTTACTACAATGTGACTGGTATGGGGGAAAAAACATGCAAAAATACCAGAGTGAACACATGGTTGACCTTTTGATAACTTAAAAAACAAAAAATCCTGGACATTTAGTCATTTAGCAGATGCTTTTATCCAAAGCGACTTGCAAATGATGGCAATAGAAGCAATCAAAACCAACAAAAGAGCAATAATATGCAAGTGCTATGACAAGTCTGGGTTAGCCTAATACACACACACATATGTTTATACACATAACAAAAAAAGAAGTAGATAGAATAGAAAAAGAATAGATAAGGCTAGTGTTAGAGGCCCTTTTTTAAAGGGGTCATATGATGCTTTTTTAAAGATCATTATTTTGTGTATTTGGTGTAACAGAATGCAGGGCAGCTGCGTCACATGCACCAGTGCAGCTGCGTCACATGCACCAGTATCTAAGGTCTGCATTCTATTGTGGCATGTTTACCATGCATATTCAAATAACCATGCAAAGTATCAGTGTTAAAACGGATCAACTTTCCAGTGAAAGATCACTCACCTCGTCTTTTCCTTCAGTGCTGCTCTCCCGCTGCTCAGAGGTGCAGAGTTTCCTTTGGTTTTTGCTCTCTGTTCTCTTCATTCTGATGGATGGAGGTTGAGTAATACTCTACAATAGTAATATATCGGTGTCAGAATCCGGTGGTCAGTGAATTTAGATGGTAAAACAAGCCTTGCTCTGATACATGGTGAGCAAACCTCTCCTTAACTTCGGTCCACAAACACAAAGACAGAATCAATGGTGAGTGCAGGTTCGACACTGTGGCTTCTGTGTAGCTCTCTCGACCTTAAGTTACAACCTGAGTTGCCATGACAGCCCGTCAGTTTTCAGTCAATACTATTTTGTCTTCAGTTTTACGTAAACTGTGCTGTTTTAGCGCGCCAAATCAACCGGCGGAACTCGCCTAGCTGTTTGCTGATAAAGTTTGACAACATCCGCAAAATAAACGCCTTTCAGGTTTACAAAAATGAAGTGACTGTTTAAAAACAACGTGTAAATATACTCGCCGGGCTCGTGTCTGTCAATGGGAGATTATAATGACAGGTCACCATTACGCTGAATAACGCGACGTTTCCAACGTGCTTGCCGCAGTTTCAAGTCAGCCAGCGGATTGTCTCTTCTCTGTAAACTAATACTTTAGCATTCCGGAGTTATCTCAGCCATAACAAAAACCTTTAAAAAACGCGATTTGTTCATCCAGTCAACTGCCTGACTGACGAGATACTTTGCCGCGGACTCGGAGCCACAGCACAGCGCGAGCTCAACTGTTCATCAGGTCTCGAGCGCGAGCTCTGTTTTGACACGGATTATTCTATCATGCGGGGCACGAAGCTCCGCTTTGCTCCTCCAGTCTCACTCTTCTTCAAACGCCAACCCGGCCGGTGAGGTGAAGAAAATAAGTGCTAATCAGAGTCGGTCCATGTCGTTGGTTTTCTTGCAGGAGGAAATCGAACAGCTTCCTGAAGCTCGGATCAAGTGAATGTGCTGATCTGAGTTCAGTCTGTTCGAGCAGAGTCAAAGTAGGGAGTATGCATATACACTGGAGCGCTGATCTGAGTTCAGTTTGTATGTCCTGCATTGCATATACACTAGAGGGCTGATCTGGGAACGTTATTTCCTCCAATGGTTTAGAAGGGGCAAGTGAACAGCTCGGTTTTCGGGCTTTGTCTTTGCTGCCATCTGCAGACGAAAGTAATGTCTTTTTTTGACAACCATTGCTGCATTTTCCTTCTGCATAAACATTATAAGCTGAAAGATAAAACAGTACAAGGTGAACAAATTAAATGGAAGTCTTTTATTGAGATATACTGAGAAAAAAGAAGGCTCAGCAAATCTGAGCAGCAGGCTTAATTTCTTCATTCTTCATTTCTTTTTAGTATTTATTTATAATTAAATTATAAGACAAGTTCTCCGTGTTTGTTATGGAATGTATTTGTCAAATGATGGGGAACAATTTGCAAGTTACTACAGGGAGTACTTGATTCTGAATTATTGAACAGATAAAGCATTAATTTAAGCCATACGATATATGGGTTTTAGGTTTGTATCAGAAAAATGATGTAGGAGGTCATAACATGAATCAAGAAAAATAAAAGCATGACACAAAGACACAATAAATTGAAATGGCATGTAGCAAAATAGTATATATATTTTGATGAATCTTGCTTTAAAGTGAAGTTTTATAGTGAAGTTTAATCGTTGCCATCAAGTAATGTAGAATAATGAGCAAAAGCATTAAAAATGAGTAGAATATGGATTTCATGTTTTTCCTACAAATATATATAAACAAGACAACAGAGAAATAATTAGAAATTGAGAACAAAGTTTACTTGTTCCACACAAAACAGATTTTATTTTTAACATTTCAGCATTTGAACATTTCTAGTACTGTGGTGTTTTTATTTTGCAGTATTTTACTTCAAACAATCTAACTGATACAGTATATGTGAATTCATATTAAAAGTGAGAAAAACTATTTTATCTTTATGGCCAATAACCTACAACAACAGGAAACTAAATTGATATTTTATAAAAAGGAAGCAAATGTTATCAGAATTTAAAACTGAAAAATAGCCAGAATCACCTTCAAACATGTAGAATATGGTGTAATATTATCAATGATGACACTTTTAACTTATTTCATATTAATGAATTGACTATGCAAATGCACAGTTCATTTATCATTGAAATACTTCTTCTCAGGATAATACTGCTTAATGACAATAGTGCCTATCAAAGAGAAAAAGGCTACAACTGAGAGGATGGTCCTCAGGGCTTTAAACCAGCTGGGATATGTGGGCAGGAGGGACAGGTCATAATGCAATGCTATCCCAAGCCCCATTATCACAAGCACAGCAGACTGTATAATGTCATGGCAAAAAAGCAGTGCTGTCCAGGCAATCAGAGAAGGAACCACACTGTTGGCTAAATTGAGCCAGTCAGGTTTTGCTGGGCTCCCGGCAGGCAAGGTGAAACCCCAGCGTACCCCACCAAGAAAGGAAACAATAGATGCTCCGTATGCAACTTGGGCAAATGCAACTTCAGGAAGATACAGCTCTGTGACAGCCATAAGTAGAGGAGCGGATACAAAAGGTACGAGACCAGATAATCCGAGATAGAGGGCTGGCTTTGGAGCTTTCTTCAGGTCTCTCATGTCATAACGAACCAAATCAAGTTCTCTTGATGGACTCTCTTCCTGAGGACGTTTCTTCAGTCTGTGTGCAGACCAGTGAAATGACTGGGCTCCCAAAACAGAACCAGCAACATGTCTTGCGGGCAGCTGTCCATATAAACCTCTAGTAAACAGTGTTGAACAGTGAGTGGTCCGCTGCCCTAAACAGGCAAACTTCCTGGACACCTGCATGAGGCCACTCCACTGCATTCTCTGTTATTAGGGAGGAAAGAAATGTCAGTTAAAACAATTACGTATTGATGAGAATTCCCATAAACAATGGAGAATACATCACGTGTTAAAGGTCTATTACGAGGTAACGGAGAGTACTGTTATTCATAAGGTAAAAAAAAAAACAGTAAAATAAAATAGAAAGTGCAACAAAATATGACTGAGTGCAACAAAACCAGATGGGTTAAATCAAAGTCCCTTTATTTGGTTAAATGTTTCACTCACCCCAAAGTTACGAAGGATGTGACGTCCGATTATACTTGCCAACATTTTACCTGCAATTCAAATAATAATAAAACATTATTAAACATTTGTTTGAGGACAGTCATTGCAGTGCTGTCTGAATCAGGTCCGTTTAAAGTTAAGCCGCAGAACTGAATTATATATTACAAAAGCTAGCATGCTAACTGTGCACCCAGCATAAGCAGTGCTTATCTGTCAGAAACATATTCGACAGTAAACGGTCTAAGAAATAATGAAAACATGCCTTGATTTAATATCATATTGTCGTAAAATAAAACGAGGAGTTTTTATGTCAGCAGAAGGTCATTACAAGGCATGTGGCGATGCGAAGGCAGACACAACATAACACGAAAAAGCCCAGAATGTTCCTATAAAAGTCCTACGGAAGTGTCCAGGGTGATGTATTTAAATTTATGCTGCGTCTCAATGTGCCTACTTATACTACGCCCTTAAAGTATGTACTCTTTTGGTGAAGAAAACGTACACACTTTTGAGTGTGTAGTAGAATAGAAGGCAAGCTTTGGGACATACTATCACGTCACACTACTGCGTCTTTAACGGACGCTCTGTCGCGTAGATACACGCACCCTTGTCACTGTAAACTGGCCTGTCAATCATCTTGTCACAGTTAACATCCTCCACATTGCATGTCATGCATCATTTAACTTCCTACCGTACTGGAGAGAAAAGACGTAGCACATTGATCTGCCAGTCGCGGGTCTTTCATGCCGAGAACTCTGCTCATATTTTATGCATAATGATGTACTTAAAAGTTAACGACCAAACGGATGTTTATAAATGTTCACATTGCTGTTGCAGATGAAATATAACACAAGATGGCGGTGTACCTTTTTTAATAAATTACAAGAAAATACAACAGGGTCTGCATTTTTTTGCGTAACAAGAACATGACCAATTTAAGTTCATAGGACAGCTAAACTATCAATTTAAACAAAAATTTACCGTCAACTACAGACGTTGCATCCATCGATTCCGCCATGTTTCTCATTGACACGCCCCCAACTGGGAAACTCGGGGCTTAAAGAAAGTTTCGAGTTTCCCACTCATAATAACGACTTTGTGGTGGCGTTCATGTGCGTTCAACTCGTAAATACGATCTATCCGACATGACTTGAACGCACCATAAGCCTCTCTACCTAACCACCCGTCGCGCACATCCGCCATGTTTGTATTTTTAACGCGTTTTATTCGTGTTTGTAGTTCTGGACCGAATCCTTCACCAAAGCGCAATGGATTGTGGGCAATATTAGCCATTAGAGTGTGCACGGATCCACACTTCAAAAATCGAAAAATAGTAGACCATCCGGGGACTTTTGACATACTCTTTTCTACATACTATGCTTTGGGACACACTTATTCTAATGATCTCACATACTATTTAGGATGGATAGTATGAACATTGAGACGCAGGGTTAGATCATATACAATTTAGCATACCAATAATTATAAAAAAAAGCTACACTATGCCTTTATGGATAGGATGGAGTCTCATGGGAATGGAATGTTGCAAAACAACAGCAGTTTAAAGCTATACTTTAAAATGTTTAAATTTTTTAAATGCCAAATATTGTTTGGGGCTAGGTCTGACTGAAAATTAATACAGAAACATAACACTTATTTATTTATTTAAATCCATTCTTTTGCTATTTAAATTCAAGTCTATTATGCAAATATAATCATATAAACATATAATTGTATGCTATCAGATATTATTATTCAAATTTGATGCAAATGTGATACAATTATGTAGTCTGAACAACAAAAAAAGCACAAATACATACACAGTAAATTATCAAATAAAATTAACGCTTTATTCATATTTTATTTCAATAACAGAAATGATTATTAGCAAAACAATTAACAATTATTATTGCTAGCAACATTTTCTTTTTAAGGGTCAGATGAAGCAAGTTCAAATCTCTGGATCACTCATATGTATTGGTCTTGTTCTAAAGTGGTCACTCAAGGGCATTTGGGTTTTGATGGGTCATCCATTTTGTTAAATTGTAATAAATTTTTCAAATATGTGTGGGTGATTATTGACTGAATGACACATCATAAATGTTAAATGCAAAATCAGAGTTTACTGTTTCAGTGATACCTAATATTGTATTGTAAATTTAAATTACTTCACATAACTTACAGGAAAGACACGATTCATCTGTTTGCTTTGCACACATTACGTTCACATAGATGTGTGTGCATTTTCCGGAAAGTCTATTAAGTTTATACACACACATCTGGTTATTTTTGCGTTACTTCACGTCTACCAAAGCGTGAAATTCCATCATTCCATTTCTGGTAGCAGAGCCAAATTTGCATTACCCGAGGGCACGCAATCTGCCATGTTGTTCACTTAATATTTTGTAACAATTTAACTCAATATATTTCACAAATAGTGCAAAAAGAGTGAAAACAACTTTAAAAGTCCACACTCTTGTGTGCGTCAAGCCCTCTCGTGAGTAAATCCTCTAGCTGGCTTGAGCTGGGGGAATGTTGTGACCATAGACTGTAAAAAAACGCGGTGTGCTCTGCGATCGATTAGCTCGTCTGTGCAGAAGTAGACAGGAACAAGCTAGATGGATTGGCAAAGTCGGAACGAGTGTGATTAAAAAAACACAAACAAAATACAGAATCAGAAATACGACAACCTCCAAGCTGTCAAATTGACTTGACAAGCGGTGCATCATTGTCTTCGATTAACTTATTGGGATAGACAAGGGATCAAAAGGTAGGTGTATATCGAAATGTTTATTCGGTGGTTTGGTGTCGAGAGGGAGCCATTTTACAACACTTTATTCCTGCTCGGAATGCTAGCCAACCTAGCTCGCGCCGTGGCTAAAACAACACGCTTTCCGTCACGACACAAGCCCGAGTCTTTATAATTCACCCTTATGTATCCGTCTAATAATGCCTAACAGTTTCTTTGCTCTAAGAGTTTGAATTTAAACACTCAGCGTGGACTAAAAGGTTTCTGCACACATTGAATGGCCTACTATGCTAAATGTGCCGTGCTAGCGAGTGTTCAGCAAGTAGAAAGACTAATAAGTATTTACTCATAGTTCGTTATAGTTTGTTAGTAATTTTAACTCCCATATGGTCCAGAACGTGTGGCTGAGCATATTAAATATTAGTTTGCAATTATCACGAATATATTTTAAAGTGTATTTTAGTTTATGTTCTGCAGCTAACTCTTTTGCTAGTTATACGCCTGCTTTTAGTTTTCCTTCACTTTACTTTCTACTTCAACTGTTTTGCGTTATACAAATAACTTGTTTATCTTACTGTAACGTTAGCTAGACAATTCACGGCCGTGGACAGATAAAGTACATATCAAATCTATTGACAAACTGATGATTAGTCATGTTAAAAGTGTACTTCACTCAAAAAGGACATTTTTGTCGATATTTACTCACTCGTTTTATTCCAGACTTATATGATTTGCTTTATTCTGAGCAATAGAAAAAGAGATGTTTGGCAGAATGACCGTATCAGACATTATTCACTTTCACTCATTTTCCATGTAGTAAAAGTCAAATGACAAAACAAGAGATGTCATTCCGCCTGTTATCTCAATTTGTGTTCCTCTGAGGGGAAAAAAATACACAGATTTTGAATATAGGGCAATGAGTAAATAATGGCAAGAATGTTATTTTATTTTATGAATGAAGTTCAATATTGAATATTTTCATGGTAATAAAGTATCAGTTTAAAATTTGTAACCTGTGAAGGCAGCTTATTGTGCTGTTTTTTTTGTTGTTGTTTGTTTGTTTGTTTGTTTGTTTTGGTGGTTTTTAGGAGCCAGCATTTGGGCACTGGCAGATCACATTAACTTTTTTTTTTTAATTATTTGACAAAGTGCTTTGTGACTTTTGTTAAGCACAAATATGTTATGTCCAAATATATTCTCTCAGTTTGAGGTAATAGAAACTGCATACATAATTATCATCTAAGATAACATCAAGAAAAACATCACTTAGAAAGTTTTAGACTTAAGTATAGCATGTCACCCTACAGAACATGCAATTGTGAGAAGAAATGAACTGTTTCCAAAGTATTGATTGCTGGGTGATCAATCAAATATTTGTTGTTTTACAGAGTTGGTCTGCAGATTATTTGTGAAGATCTGGAGGAAGAACAAACTGTTGGATTTGTGACTTCAGGATTTTAAGAGACCTGAGATCTCCTAACATGCAATAATACAATCTGGAGTACACCTGTTGTTTCACATTGAATGTTCAAGGTTTGCCTGCACCTGGGCGCTTGTGTTTTGGTTGCACTGAATTACCAATGCACTGTACACCGTGTTTAACAGGAATCTGTGCACTTTGGCTTCAAGTTACTCACCTGTGGAAGCTTCTTCGAATTTGATGAACTGGAAGGTTGGAAGTGTTGTTAGAAGTCAAATCATATTTACCATAATTTTTTTCGGTAGCCTAACGTGATATTGGTTCACCAGCCATTTATCCATAACCATATGGGGCGAGAATTAAAGATGTCAAGTTTTCATGGTTTGGTTCGCTGAGTCATCCAAAGTATGAGCTGTTGAAAGCAAAAGCAATTCTCATGACTTTATAATATAAAGCACTTCTACCTATTGTGATGTGACAAATCAGCCCCCCTCCCCTTTTCGCCCTGACGTAGCACAGTCGCTGTTTTAATGAGGTGAACATATTCAGATCACCACTTTGTGCAAAACAGCTTTGTGTGGTACAAACCCACTCTCCGTTTTTTATTGCTGTGTGTGTCTTCAGCCGAAAATGAGTTCGTAAAGGAGCTTCTGAGTGTCAGAGCAGGCACGACGTGCTGCTACCACAAGCACCCAGAATAAGAGACTGGACAATCCAAGACTCAAACAGAATTTTTTTTGGAACCCATTGGATTTGCTTCATTTCTATCCAGTCAAACTGAATGCACGCAGTCATCGTCAGTGAACTAAGGGTGTCGTGGAGAGTCACTCTGGCATTACTGATCAAACACATCCTCTATTCTTCCGCAACTACACTCCGCTGATCAAGAACAACACGTCTCCATCTCTTCCATCACCTTACAATTTTACCTTGGGCTGCACAAGTTTCACTTCCATCTCCTTCTTTGCACCATCCTGGAAACTGGAGTTTGTCTGTGACAGGAGTTGCGCTTGTCCTGAGGCTTCAAAGCCTGTGAAAGAGCGTTGGTTGGGCCCTTTACTCAGATACAGCCAAGGACAGGGCCATCGAACTACAGAGCCTTTGTCTCTGGGGTAAGAAGCCACAACATTTAGCTGGAACTTTCCTTGGTATTGATTATTTTGTACTTTGAATGAGTTATCACTTATGTAATGGAATGTGAGATTTGTCGTTAAGTAGAATGTATTGTTTTAAAGTTAG